ATAGCGACCCTGTACAGGGTTTCCGAGGGTGTAAATCTTTACGGGAGTAGAAAGCCTCATCTTTCTCCCGCGGAGCAGCTGGTAGTTTCGAACTGCTGACTTTATGGTTCGCAGCCCGATTCGTAACCACTACGCTACCAGAGCTACTATATGTGGTTAAAATTCTCAGAAGAGATATGTACTATAAACATTTGTTATGCGCCGGAACCTACTCAGTGGCACTTAATAACAACAAAAGGATAGCACAGATCTAGTTTATTGAAAAATGACAATATTAATATTTTAAACATTTTGTTCTTAATTAGAGCAAAACAAGATGCTATGGAAACTACAAACTTACCATCGCATGTAAAAGTAACTGGTAGTTGGAATCCTTCGATATCAATGGAGACCTTCACGCTTGCATTTTCTCCGCATATGTTTCTTTGTACTGTAACTGGACTTAGCATGTAACCTGGATTTGTGTGGTGGTGGGTATATGGAAAGTTGGTCCTCAATCTGTTCACAAGAAAAAATAAACAGATTCTTTTAAAAAGCTGTATTGGAAAGCCTTGAAAAAGGCTTTGCAGCTTACAGCCATTCCATTCTGTTTGTGTCCACTGCTAAGGAGCGAACTCAAGAGAAGTGCAATGAATGAACCCCTGTCAAAACTCCAAATGCCATCATTTGTCTTTAAGTAAAAGGAACCAAAGGATTTAGTGATTAGTACCGCACGAGTATCACTGGCAACACAATCAATATTAACTAAACACATTACTAGATCCATGCAATAAATGAGGCTCTCTGCGTCAGATTTTTTTAAATTACATTTATGCAAAAAGTACATTTTAAAGGGACCTCTGATATTAGTCAATTATATTTCCCAGAGATAAATTATTTTTTCTCAAATAATTTTTTTTAAACAAACTGCTTTTGATGGGAAAAGAAATAAAACACAGACAATGAATTTTTACAGAGCTTGTTGTTAAGTACCGTGGAGTTGGTTCCGACTCATAGTGACTCTGCACAGGGTTTCCGAGGCTGCAAATCTTCATGGGAGCAGAACGCCTCATCTTTCTCCCGCTGAACAGCTGGTAGTTTCGAACTGCTGACCTTGCCCGATTCGTAACCACTACTCTACCAGAGCCTTACAGTGCTACAAGGTCTTTATTCCCTCCCTCAAAATGATTTCTAAATTGTAGGAAATGCGAGAGTTACATGTGAAGCTACTCATGACTATCAAGTATATAAAGGATCTTTAAGAAAAGAAAATGAAGCTTGATGTTCTTACCTAATTACCTCCTGAGAGTATTTTTTAAAACTCTCATTTTCTCTAAAATTTCTACTTCCTTATCCAAGGAAAAGGGAGCATGTTGGCTCTGTACAATAAGCACTGGACTGTTATTGTTGTTATTAGGTGCCATGGAGTCAGTACTGGCTCATAGCGACCCTATGCACAACAGAATGAAACACTGCACTGCTAGCCACAAAACTGGCGATTGAGCCCACCAACTGTTCTGTGGAAGAAAGATGGGGTTTTCTGTCCCAACAAAGATTTATAGCCTCAGAAACCCTCTGACTAATAGGGTCGCTATGAGTCAGAACCAGCTTGACGGCACTTAGCAAAATCAATGAAAAAGGAGCTATTCAGAATCTAGCATTTATTTAATGAGATTCTACAGTTCGGAAAATTTAGTATCTCTATGCACACACTGTCAGGAGCTCTGGTAGCGTAGTGGTTACGAATCGGGCTGCGAACCTTAAGGTCAGC